TTCGACTTGCCCTTCCTTTGAAATATCATTGATTTTCGGATACTGGAACTTCCTTCCACAAGATTAGGTGAGTATCAGAAACATTTTCTGAGAGGAGCTTGAAGATATTGCAGGCCGTTTGATGTTAATCTTGTAACTGCAGTCCACGAGAATGGATTCTGTACGTTTTTGCATGAATAAAATATACAACTACATGTTGATGGACTCATTCCTATGCTGCTTACAATAAAGTTGTACTTAAAATTTCTATTTTGCGTTTTAATATGAAGCAATTGAGTGAAATCTTTTGAATTCTTTCAGGAAAAGATACTATTTAATTCGAATAATCATCTGCCTTAGCATATATTTTGATTGAATCCAGTTAATTGCTGCAACCTGCAAGTAAATTAATGATTATATCACAGGTTTGTTAAGCCCTTTGATCCAGTTAGTTCATTTTAAGGAGATTTCCTGGCAGGTTTCTGAGGTTGTGGTCACTTTTCCGTTTTTCTTCCATAAAGTTTCGAACGCTTTAGCCTTGTTCCGCAAGGATCTTTCACAGCTTCATGACCCACCTGTCACTTTAATTCTGAAGCTTCTGCTGTTGCCTTTAATCATGACTTTGATCATGTCAAATAAGAGAAACCTCAAAAGCATTCTTTTCTACAATAAGTTATAACCAGAGAGAAGTATAAGATTCATATAATCTATGACCCAATTACCTTTGACACATTAATCCCTACAACTTGTTGAAGACAATTAGACAAAGATTCTTGGTTTGGAAAACTCTCCTATGAAAATAATCTTGGCTTGAATGAAGTTGATCCCCAACAAGTTTCTATTTGTTGATAGTACGAATATTAGGTTATGGCAATATTGTTTTTAAGCCGACATTAAAGGTAATGAAACCAACTTGCTTGGTGGTGATAACTGTTGAGGCTCATGAATCCGATGATGCACATGGGCAAGTTGATGTTGACAAAGAGAACTTAGCTGCTCTATTGTCCCTTAATCCTCCATTATGTTTTGTTATAAACTATTATTAAATTAAGACTAGATTAGACCATCATTAGGCTAACTGCTCCCTACTTTTAATCCTTTTTCTCATGTTAGAAGCCCACATTTGTTAGGGCTGGAGCCCAGGGTATCATGACCTTGAGCAGATTACTTTATGTTCCATTTCCCTAGAAATATTTAATTATGGGAATATGCCTCTCAATGATACTTATCTCCGACTTAGTTTACTTCAATGATTCTTTGCACTGTGCAGTGATGTATTCTCTTCAAACCTTTAAAGATTCAATAACCTTTCATGGCAGCATTTCCATTTTGCAAGCAATACAACTGATCAAAACCCCAAATTTTCTTTATCTGAAAGCTCTTATCAGCCGGTAATTACAGACTTTTATACTCTTTGTGTCAGGGTTTTGAACTGTTCAATTTCTAAATATTTTTTATTACAAGGGCATGTGGACAGGCTCGTTTGGCAAGCATTCGGGAACAGTTAGGAGAGATAATCTTATATAGGCTGTGTAGGCTCATGGACATATATTAAAATCCAGGTTTGGGACTGCCTTTGGCAATCTGCTGCCATATAAGCCAAAATGGAAATGCTTTTCAAACGCCATGAAAAGACACTGGTAGAGGACCCT